GCCAGGATGGCCCTGCCCACCCCCTGCTTCCTTCAAGCCTTCACACTCAAAATAAAGTTCACTCTGCATTGGAACTGGAGTCTCCTGGAGTTCCTGTCCTGCCGGGATGTGCAGCCCAGCTGCTCCGTGGGGGCTGTGATGCCCTGGGGGGGTTTGGGTGGTTAAAGACCAGGGATGGCCCTTTCCACACCTGGGCAAGGTGAGAAGCTGCAAGGGCCGCAGTCCCTGGAAGTGCCTGGGGCAGTGTAGGGAGCATGGCCTGGTGTGAGTGTGCACAGAGTGACCAGGAGGTGCCCCAGGGGACAGGACACAGGTTGGGGACGTGCTGAGGTGTGTAATGTGGACATGGGGCAGGGATGGACACACAGGGACCACAATCCCTCATCTGAGGGACAGAGCTGTGACTGTGACATGGCTTGGGGCTGTACCCAGGCAGAGCACAGAGCAGTGGAAACATCCCCCAGCAAAATTGTCCTGTGCTCAGAAGCGTGAATTGCTGTGGTGCCATTCTGTGTGTCACCGTGTCCTGAAGGAACAGCAGTCTGGAACAGACCTGCAGAAATCTGTTGTGCAGACTGTCTACATGATCTTGGAGACTTTTTTCTAACCTTGAGGATTCTGGGATTTCTCCAGGAGAGCAACCCATCCTCAGCCCATTTCCAGTGTGACAATATCTGGCACAGGACTCACATTTCTCTTGGCACACCTGCCCTGGGTGCCAGGTGTCACCTCAGGACTTTGGGCTGTCCCTGTGCTGCAGGGTTTGGATGCAGGCAAGGAAAACAACCTCTTGTAGCTGGAAATGCACAATAAAGGCTTGAGGAAGGTGCCAGTATGTCTACACAGAAATGTCTTCTGGAAGGTCAATGTTTTGCCTCATCAACTGGCACCCAATGTCCAACCTCCCTCCTGCCTTGAGTGGTCACCCTGTGCACATTCACACAAAGCCACCCTCCCTCCAATCCCACCCAAACCCCCCCAGGGCATCACAGCCCCCACGGAGCAGCTTTAGCCAGGTGTCCCAAAATGGAAGGAACTCCAGGAGACTCCAGTTCCAATGCAGAGTGAACTTTATTTTGAGTGTGAAGGCTTGAAGGAAGCAGGGGGTGGGCAGGGCCATCCTGGCCAGCAGTGGGACACACGTCTGCCTGGCCCAGGCACGGGGACAGCGGCAGCAGCAGGACCCCGCCGCGCTGGCCTGGGGCTGAGCCCCTGGGCCGGCAGAGCAGGGCCCAGCAGGGCCTGGGGAGGCACAGGAGAAAGCAGGACAAGCAGAAGGCTCGGCTGGCCACGCTTGCCTCCCTCCATGGCAGGAGGAGGGCTCGAGGGGGCCCAAGGCCTCTGGAAACGCTGGCCAGCAG